AAATTAAACTGTTCTGTGTAGAAGCAGCTCTGAAAAGTCTATTCTACGTGCAAAATCATGGTTAGCATTGTCCAAATTCAAAGGCACAAAATTACATACTTACATCAGTGACTTATTCACAAATTTCCCTCTCAGCCTTGTTTGTTTTCCTGTTAGAAATCAATCCAAAGCATTTGCAGAAACGGATCTGCAGGATGATACACAAAATGATGATACTTAAACATCAAGACTGTGACATGAGCCAAACAGTTGAGGCAAATCCAGCCTTTGACTGGTACCTTCTGCTTCTTAGCTGCCTGTGTGGAAAGACGTAGTATGGTCAAGTCCTCAGGGCTGTACAGCCTTTTCAGAGTTTTGAGCTAAGGCCTCTGAAGCAAGCATATACATATAATACACTTTCAAACAAATGGTATCATTGAACACTCAGGTCAGGCATTCATCTCATGATGGTGAAATATTCTGTAAGCTTCTTCTCTGTAGATTCTCCCTCCAGGAAGACAAGGACACTTCTTCACAAATGCAAGCCCTTTGACAGGTGACTCCTAGGTTCAGAGAGGGTCTTTTGATTACTAGTCACCAAAATGAGTTATCCTAAAGCAATCTAATTTCTGAAAGTGAATATTCTACTTTACAGTAGGAAAACCTCATCTCCAGCCCTAGAACATATAAGGTTAATGATGAACATGCTGCAAAGAAAGAGATTTGAAAAAAGCAAAATTGCTAAGTCTGCTGCAGGCTAATCAAGTATATTGTTCCCTTGATTCTAGAAAATTGCCACAAACATTTCTGAAAGGCGGAAAAGGTGTCCGTGAGATACTTTTGGTTTACTTTGTCACCAAACCTGAGCTTCTCTCTCCTCCCTGTGGTGTCAGTATCTCCAAGAATGGGGTGGGGATGCTAATGCTACTGCTGGGATTCTCTAGCAGAGGGCTCCTTGTCCTGCCAAACGGCATTCCATTTCTCTCTCCTGGCTCAGCTTCCATGCTGCAGGCTGAAGCATTCTGGGATGAATCAACGTTGGTCTCACTGATGACAGAAGCAGAACTGTGCAGGTGGCAAGGCAGTGGCTGAACACTCACACAGCATTTCCAAGGTCATGGGTTTGATCTCCAGGACCACAAGCAAAATAAGCAACAAGCAAAGCAAAGCTGTACTGGCAGGATACAGTTTGGAATTTCATCCTTAAGAGAGCAAACTCTTGTGACCAGTTTAAATACACTTGAAAATATGCACAAAATTCCCTCCCTGTCCCTCCCTGCCCCCCCCCCCCCCCTCCCGTCTTGCCCCCCCCCCCCACCAAACTTCTTCCCTCTCCCTTCTTGATCCTACTTCTTCCCTCTCTTTTTACCCTTTGCCCCCCTCCCCACCACTCATCTTTCCTGTTTTCTTCTATTTGAAAAAAATATATAATGTGCAAACTGGTACAAAAATCAAATGATGAACATCTGAATTTCCAGTATCCAAGACTTCTCATTGGTCACATTTGCTTACAGGGTTCCGTTTTGTTTCCCTTTTCTTTTCAAAAAGCTTACTGATGAAACTGGATTCCCAGCCATCTCCTGTCTGTTCTCTCACTCTCTGACTCTCTCTGATGCACTCATTTCCTGGCCCAAATGCCCAGATCAGTTCATTCTTTGCATTTTCACATATATATCTGTGTATCCCCAAGAATACATGTGATTGTGGCTTTATACTTCAAGTTTTATTTTGCTTAATAATTATCATGTGAAATGTGTGCTGATATGTATATAAAACCAACTGATTTTTTTTTCAAGGCTGTGCCCTGTTCTATACTACAAATGAAGCAAATTTACTTACCCATTCCCTTTTCAGGGTGAATTTTTATCTCAGGATGAATTTTTGTATAAGTTTTGTTATACAAAAACAAAACAAAAGCAAAAACAAAAACCCTGTTATGATCCTCTTGTTGGCATGTCCCTGCTTGTGTGCGTGTTTATTGAGCCCTGCACATCTGCAAGGTAGAATCAGTATGCATGGAATATGCAATACTGCTTTTGATAAATGCAATAAAATCTCTCACTAGAATAATGTTTCAATTCCTGATTCTGCCAGGAGTAATTGGAATATTACATTATTTTCCTCACATCTTGGACAACATTGAATTTTGCCAGGCCTTTTCATGTTAACTACTTGGATGGAAGGAAAATGTAATCTTATCATTTTAATTTCCATTTTCTTGCTGACTTCTGACTGAGCTTCTTAAGTTCACAATTCCATTGTAGTTTCTTCTTTGACTAGCTCGCATTTCTCTGTTGTGTTTCTCTCTTTGTCTTTTCCTTGACTTTGGGAGGTTTCTTGTATATTCTAGTTTCTTATTCCATGCGTGCCAGATATGTCCCCTGTGTCTTTGGCATGGCTCGCTTAGTGAGATCACTTCTTCAAATGATTACTTCAGTTAAATTGTCTTGCTATCTAGTTGAATCCTCTGCATCATTAAGAAGCCGCAACTGTATCTCTGCCTCAGTGTGTTGCTATTCATTTGGACCTGCAGTCTGAATATGCAGCCTAGAGCTGTCCAGTCCCCACTGTCTCCATATAGGCTGGCTGCAGTTCTCTTCTTCAGTTTCCACTGGAGATATCTTAGTGTTCTTATCTCTGTTTATTCTCACCAGGAACCTTACTACATTGCAAGCCAGCTCTTGTTCCAGCTCAACTCAGAACCTTATGGAGGCTTTATATCTTACCTTGCAGCAAATAAGCAGAGCTCGGGAGACCACTGGGGTTCAGCGCTTCCAGCTGCTGGTCCCTGCCACTCTTGCCTCACTGTAGCATCTTACTGGTTTCCCTTCCAACATATCAGCATTCTCAGGCACATTCTGCCTCTTGTGCCTGGAAATGTCTTCACCCAAGGCTGTCTTTTTGTCTGTTTCCCGCATCTCATTCAGGTTTCCCCTGAGATGTTTATTTCCAATGAGCGCTTTCATAGTGTCCTTGTTAAAAAATGTAAATCATCTCTCCAAATTCACTGTGCTCGTTTCATAGGATGATACTCAAAGCATACCACAAACTGAGAAGCTTGGAACAACAGAAACGCTTTTGTCTGGCAGTTCTGGAGACCATCACTCCGAAATCAGTGTCATTAGGACGATGTTCGCAGGAGAAATCTCCCTGGGAGTGTCAGGCCGGACCGGGAGGCTGGGAGGCTGGGAGGCTGGGAGGCTGGGAGGCTGGGAATGGGATTCTGTCTCTTGCTGGCTTTCTGGTTGCTTGCTAGCAAACTTAGCATCCCTTGTTTTGCAGAAGCAGCCTCACATTGTCTCTGTCATGGGACATTCTCCTGCTGTGTCACTGCCTTCACAGGGTCCTCCTCTTAGATGTAAACCACTTGAAATGAATTTTATCCATCCTATTCCAATATGACATCATCGTAATCTTTGTCTTCGACAACCCTATTCCCTGCTCAGGAACTGAGAGATAGAAATTCAGTCTTCCCCTCCTCTCTCTCCTTTCCTTCCTCCCTCTCTTTCTTTTTCTCTCCACCCAACCTCTCCCTGTGTGTTGGGGAGCAAGATTCCCCAGAGCACTTAGACCATTTAATTACCCGGGCACATGCGGTATTTACTTTATTTGTCTGTTTCCCCTATGAGGATAATGGTAGAATGGGAGGCTCTTGTGTTCAGAGCTGTGGAGAATACTGCCTGGGAGCTCCGTAGTCTCAGTAAATGTTCGCTGGATGACAGATGAATGATTTCAATCACATTATGAACAGAGCAAGTGACATGATATGGAGCAAAATAATTAGATTTTGAAAAGGAAATAATGACCCTTCCTCAAAATCTCAGAGAATAAACTAGTGTCAGTCACTATGGAATTTTATTTTTAATTTTAAAACTAGGTCTATGAAGGAAAAGTGGAGGTAGAGATTATAGCAGAGAGAATCTGACCAGTGGGGTTATCATTGGGTCATTTGTGAGCGTTAGAGTCTGTCAGCCTCTTAGTCACTTTCACAATGAAAAAGAAATATCCTCCAAAGTGCATCCCTCATATATTCCTATGCCCATTTGGCAGAGATAGAATGAAAAGATCGATTAAATGATCAGCTGTGTAGGATCTAACCCTAAGTAGCTACACCAAAAGCCCGCATTCACTTCTGTGCTGGCTGGTTTATGTCAATTTAACATAAGCTAGAGTCGTCCCAGAGGAAACAAAGGCCTCCATAATAACCATGAGATCTGGCTGCGGGCAAGCCTGTAAGGTGTTTTCTTGGTTAGTGACTGATGTGTGAGGAGCCAGACTATTGTGGGTAGTGCCTCCCCAGGACTGGTAGCAGGCCAGCAGGTCATGAGGAGCAAGCCAATAAGCAGCACTCCTCTTGGTCTCCACATCAGTTACTGTCTACAGGTTCCTGACCTGACTTTCCTCAGTAATGGACTGTTACCTGAAAGTATAAGGGGAAAGAAACCCTTCCTTCTCCAAGTTGATTTTGGTAGTGGTGTTTTATCACAGCAATAGAAACCCTAACTAGGACCCGTAATCAATTGCACTAGTGTTTCCAAGGAGAGGAAGGTAAGTGACCCACAAGTGAATTGACTCTTCAGTGAATTTGACATAGAATTCCACAAAGCCAGGGAGGTGTTCTCCTGACTGTAACCTGGGCCAGCCTCGTGGGAAATCTGGTATCAGGACTGCGTGTTTCTTGAGGAGGCCAGGTGCTGCATCTAGGAATGCCTTGGGCTAGGAATCAGAATCTGGACAGGCAAAGGACAACTCGGATACTGCCTTTGTGTGGTACTGTGAATCACATTCACTGCCCTGAGCCACATCCTCTCTCTGAAGAGTAATGACAATGGTTTAGAAGCTACACTATGTCAATAGAGCCCTGTAAACAGCTCCTGGTACAGGCAGGCCAGCTCGGTGTTCTTCACAACTGTTTTTCATAATGTTGTGTCTAGTGTTGTTCACAACTGGTTTTTTATGATGCTGTGTCTAGAAGCTGTCCAATTTACTGCTGAAATGCTCATCTGAACTTACTTTTCTAGTTAGGTGTCCTGGGACAACCTGCTCTGTCATCCCTTCTGCAAAACACTCTCCTCCATCTTGCACTGAGGACCCGAAGGAGGCAGCACAGTCTGCAAGGTAGGGTTTGTTTAATTTTATTTCTTTTCAAAGAGTGTGATGAATTGACCTACTGTGGGAATGTCCTCATAATATTAGTCATATTCTCTTGCATATAAATAGAACTTTTTATAATGGTACAAGTTTACAGCTAGATTCCCTTAGAGAATCCACTCCCTCTCTGTTTCTATTTGTAGCTGCTACTTTAAAATTGGAATGTAAATATTATGTCAGCTAAGTAAAAGAATGATGGTTTCCCTTTCTGAAGGATAGTATTGCCTTCCCTTCCCAGAAAGTGCAGCTGTGCTTTTACCAGATTGACATGGCATTCTATTGTTCTTCCCCCACTAGGCAGGCACACATATTTAATAATTTCTGTGTATGAATAAAAAGGTTAAATAGTCAAGAGCCAAGTTGCAATGCCTTGTGTGGCTTTGAGGATGGTGTAGGATTGGGATGAAATTAGTAGCAGCAAGGGGAGGCCTCTGTCAAGGGAGCTGTGTCCTAAAGGAGGGGAAGGTTTGTCTTGGTCAGGAGTGGCTCTGCTAATAGAGAATGGGACCACAAATGATGAATCTTATGTGGAAACTCAAAGACCACGTAGAGGCATCCCTTCCCTTTATGCCCCAGTGTTTTTGTTGGTGAGTCGTATATGCAACTAAAAAAAAAAATAGCTGAAGGAGAAGAAATGAACTGAGGAGACTCAGAGGAGTCATAGCAGTTAGGCATGCTGGAGAGGGTTGGGTTGGCAATGCCTTCCCTTCAGCTTTCTAATGCACACCTTGCTTTAGTCCACATGGTAGGCTGTAGGGACCTGGAGCTCTTTCTTTCAAAATTAGCCATAAAACCTAAGAAAAGCTGCAGTATAATTTCCCGCTGTGCTGCATGTAAGACTGGCCATTCATATTCTCTGACCCTCCATGTCTGACAGTGGTCATAAAACTCATTCCAGAAGAAGTGTGTTCCAAACCTAGGTCAGAGGAAATGCACAATGGAAAGCTTGAGAAGGTAAGGAATTTCTAGGCCTTGCTCAGGTCCACTTCTTAGCAAGTAGCTCTCATACCAACAAGTCATGGTCTTTGTCCAATCACATTCCTACATGAATGCCCATTTGGTTTTTACCTAAGCATAAGAAACAGGATTTCTCTCAGTCTTTGGTTTCCATTTCCAAACCCTCTCATGTCAGACTTTTTCCTTTTTAACTTGTATTTTGTTATAGAAATGTTATAGGGGTGGCTGTGATGCTTTGATGGTTGAGGAAAGATCACACACACACACACACACACACACACACACACACACACACACACTCACCAGCATATGCACTGGCCCCACAATTCCAATCTGGTCATTTCTCTAGCATGTACTTAATAAGTTATGCTATTTTATTTGAGTTTTAAATTAATTATTTATTTACTTGCCTGTTTATAGACAGAGGCTTTCTATATAACCCACATCACCCTCATATTTGCTGAGCCATCATGCCTAGCTTTGACCTCACCATCAGCCTGGTTCTAGTATCTCAGACATCTGAATGACTCTTGGCAGGCTATGCTCAGTTAACCTCTTTTCATAAATACTCCTGTTTCTTTCTGTTGTTCCTTCTCATGCTTCCTCCTTTAACAATATCTCCATGTCTGGGTCTTGGCAATTTGTGTGTGTGTGTGTGTGTACGCACATGTGTGTTGTGTGTGTGTGTTTATGTGTAAACTGAAAAGCTGCTTGAACCAAAAGACAAAGATATTCCACACTCTGTCTTACTTCCAGTTAACACCCTGTCTCCTGTATCCACTTTATCTTGTACACCTACATCTCTTTGACTCTGCTTTCATGTTATTCCACAATCCTATGAAACCTATGGGTTTATGCAAATTTTATTAAATTGGACAAAACTGCCTCTCAAGTTTGTAGTACTGCTAGGCATCGATTTGTCACCTAAAAGCATCCACGGATCACATGGTAGGGTGGGGTGGGCCTCCCATTTTGACATCCTAAAACATCTGACTTCTCCCTAGTGGACACTTTACTTATCTAGAGAGCCTACCTACAAAACAGACAAGAAGTGCAATGAGTTGACGTGGAGGAGTGGCTGCACGCTTCCTTCCCATGAATCTTCAAGCATAGCCATTCAGCCTTCAGTATACTTGTTCTGCTTGTCATTTTAACTCTGGAACTAAAGCTCTTAAAAATGAGAAGTCCACAATTATTGGGAAGAGTAATTAAAAGCCAGTCATTTTCAAGTTTTAGAGAACTCACTTATTCCTCTGTGTTTATAAAGACTTCTTTTCTTCTCCTAGCAATAAAGGACAATGCCTAATAATTTCAAGTACTCCCTTTTTTGCTGTTTCTGCATCATTTTTGCTGTTTGCTGTTTGATCTTTGTCAGCCCACTTAATCTCTCTGAACTCTGAAATGAGACTAATCTTAGGAATCGTTTCGCAGGATGGTTAGGAAGGATTAAAAGGATAATTTATGTAGTTAGGAATGTTCATTGCATGTAGAAGCTTTCAAGACATAGAATTTATAATTATTAGTGGTCAAGACATGGATGTCACATTTATTCATAGAAGTAGACATGTACTTTCTGTGTCTTAATATTGAAGAATTTTGCATATTTTACTCGTCTTGGAATATTACCTATAACCATGTCAATGAGTCGGATACCTAAGGCCACACAAGTAACACAAAGATTGTGAGAAAGTACATGTGGACACTCCTTGGAGGAGTGATCAGAACAGACCTCATGGCCTTGAAATTAAATGCCACCATGTCTGGGTGGTGCTTTAGTGTGTAGCGTTAAGCTGTGATTTTTAGTCCAATCTTCTTCTGTATTCGGCCAGATAGTCAAGAGAGCACCAGGCTGGCTCTGTTTCTTGTTAGGGCTAAAACCAGGTATTTCTACACAGGATACTAGCTGAAGGTTAAGGAGTCTTTAGGAGATACAAGAGACTATTCCCTTAGTGTTTTCTCTACAGCCACTTCTGGTACGGCCAGGTAAGCTCTACTAGCCATACATGACCAGGGATGTCAATTATAGAATAGACCTACCCTCACCTGTGTTTCCTGAAGGTAGGCAGAACAAAAGCACACAGGTGGGTTCTTTGCAGAGCCTCAATTCAGAACTTGAAAGCTGTGTTCCTACTTTACAGTCTTTAGTCTGAAAGCAGGCTAAAGTTAATGTTACGTGAGCTAACTGACCTCCAATTAGAAACTACCTCTTAGGCTTGAGGACCCAAGCCACAGACTGGAAGGAAGTAATGGCCCACTGGAGTGTGAGCTTACATTCCAGAGAAGCCACGGGGTAGAGAGCTGTTCATATAGCAGTTCTGTGTGCAAACAGCTGTCAGATTTGGGGGCAGTTCCTGAACCAGGCATAAAGGAGCAGGCAAGTGAGCAGAGTTTAAAAGTGACAGAAGCAGCTGGGATGGTGGCACATGCCTTTAGTCTCAGCAGTCAGGGGCAGATTGCTTGCTGTAGGTTGGAGGCCAACCTGGTCTCCAGAGTGGATTCCAGGCCAGAGAGGGCTCAATAGTAAGTCTGTCTGAAAAAGAACAAGAAAAGAAAAACACTAAACTGAGATTCAAGCAGCCTCCCAAGACCTCAGTCCTATTTAACTAATTTACTTGCCCATCAAAATAGATTAGAACTAAAGTAGAATGCTGACTCTTCCTCTTATAGCATTCACATTTATATATTCACACAATACAACCTCAGATTGAATGGCATATAACGAACTAAGAAAAATAGGGACAATTTTGAAAAGAAAAGGCAATTATCTGACATTTATTTCAAGATGAGCCAGATTTTGGAGTTTATTGATGGAGAGCTGTCACTCCCGAAACAGAAAATTTCTGAGTGGCCTTGGAGCATTTGGAGGTGGCTAGGACAAGAAGCATCAGTAACCCTTATGAAAGAGCTGTATCATTGTATTTCCGAGGCACAGAAATTATATGTGTGTGTGTGTGTGTGTGTGTGTGTGTCTGAACAAAGAGTCAAGGCTCTGGTAACTGTGTGGCCAAATGCAACATGTCTAGCATACATGATGTAATTGGAGTCACAGATGAAGAAGGGAAGTAGAATTATGTAGAAAGTATGTTTGCAAAATAATGACATATTTTTAAATATGTTGAAATACTTAAATACATAGACCAGAAACCTTAGCAAACAGCAAACAGTAGCATTTCTCTCTCATGCTTGCTCTCTCTGATATCTTTTTCTTTGTGTGTGTGTATGTGTGTGTGTGTGTGTGTGTGTGTGTGTGTGTGTGTGTGTGTGTGTATACAGGGTCTTGTTATGCAGCCCAGCCTGCATTCCTGCTTCAGACCCAGGAAATGCTTCATATTTTCTGTGAGATACGATAAAACCCTGTGCTGAGCTCGTAGGAGCCACCATGCCGCAGCATAAATGGGATAAAGTGGAGGAAAATTCTGACGCTGTACTTCTCATTTAAACTGCTGGACAGTGACAGTAAAGAGAAAATTTTAACAGAAGCCATAACAGGGGAAATTCTGTCTCAGATGAGCACTTCCTCCTCTTCAGAGGTAACAGAGGCTAGAACCAAAACAAAAAAAAACAAAAAAACAAACAAACAAACAAACAAACAAAAAAAACCAACAGTTTAATGCTTTTAATGACATTTATTTATCTGTGGTACAGGGCAGGTAGGGGTAATGTGTAAATGGCACACATGCAGAAGAGGTGGTTCTCTCTACCACCATGTTAGGTCCTGGGGTTTGAACTCAGAGGTAGTCAGGCTCGGCTACACAGGCCTTTTCCTACTGACTATCTCACCAGCCTAAAAAAAACTGATGTTTTTAAAGTAATGAGGGGATAGAAAGACAGTAATAACACAGGCCAAACGGCCTTTTTATTTGTATAGTTAAAATATGCTTTATGAATGAAGACAAAGGCATTTTCAGATAAAGGGAAGTGTGGAGGCTTCCCGGCTGAAAAGCCTGCAGCATCAGAGACGCCAGAGATGCGGCCAGATCTGAACTGAAGCACTTCAGAGAGAATCTTAA